GTGCCATATCTACCTGTAAAGGAGTGTATAAAATTAATCGTCTTCCTTTTGGTGTGCGCCCGGCGTCGGGTATCGTTCAACGGGAACTGGAAAAGCTACTGTGCGGTATAACGGGTTTGGACGATGTGCTGGTCACGGGAAATTTTGATGTGGAGCATCTGGAAAATCTAGGGAGAGTATTTGAGGTACTAAAGCAGGCACGATACTGTCAAAGCGATTCAGGAAGCTCAGTAACCGAAGAACATTCAGGAAGTGAGAGCTTTTGCGGGACTGATTAATCACTACGCCAGATTTGTGGGGAACATTGCAGAAATCATGAGCCCTGTAAGAAAGGAACTAAGTTCATTTGGTCAAGGGAGTGTCAAGTAGCTTTCACTAAGGCGAAAGAGGAGAGATATGCAAAGATGTCGTATTGGCGCATATTAATCCAAAAGCTAAGTTGTTTTTAATCTGTGACGCGTCAATGGAAGATGTTTCAGCTATCTTAGTGCAGAAGAAATGGCCGAGAAAGGCCAGTAGCGTGTGCCTCACGGGTTCTACACGCGGCGAAAAATCATTATCTGATTAGTAACACCGAGGGTAACACATTCGTGATTCGAACGGACCATAAACCGTTGATGTCGCTTTTCAACCCACTCAAAGGCATACCGGTAATAGCAGCTAGTCGCATGCAGCGCTGGGCCAATTTTCTAGCAGGTTTTAGTTATCAGGTAACACGTAGGCTCCCGAGAAAATGCGGATTTTCCATCGAGCTTTCCACATGAATCCTGGAATTGTGGAAGGAAGACGATAGTTATGTTAACCTTCTCAATATGGGTGACATAGCTACTGTTGATTGTGATACGTTTCGGGAAGAAACGGGTAAAGATCCGGAGCTTTGTGCTATAAGGAAGTGGTTGAGGTCCGGTAAAAGAAACAATGATATGTTGAACGACGCATTAAGTAATACCAACAATCAATACGAAACTAACGATTTTAAATTGGCTCACCACTTTAGTAGCCTATTGGTCCCAAGCAAACGATTAACGTACCCTATTCTAGTTGAAATTCTATTACTACACTATGTTTGTTTTGATTCGCTATGAAAGTTTGACAGATAACATCAGGGGTGTGTGGATTCATGCAGAACATGCAGGGGTGAGTGAAATAGCTTGGGACTGCTTGGGACCGTTGTTCTGGTACTGAGTGAGCCAAAAATAATAATGATTTTCTTCGGGACCCAGTGGTCTTAGAGTTACCTCTATAGTAATACCAACAATCAATACGAAACTAACGATTTTAAATTGGCTCACCACTTTAGTAGCCTATTGGTCCCAAGCAAACGATTAACGTACCCTATTCTAGTTGAAATTCTATTACTACACTATGTTTGTTTTGATTCGCTATGAAAGTTTGACAGATAACATCAGGGGTGTGTGGATTCATGCAGGGGTGAGTGAAATAGCTTGGGAGTGCTTGGGACCGTTGTTCTGGTACTGAGTGAGCCAAAAATAATAATGATTTTCTTCGGGACCCAGTGGTCTTAGAGTTACCTCTATGGTAATACCGCGGGAGAATTGTCGGTGGCAGACGACCTGGTGATGCGGGGTGAAACTGATGTCGTTTTCGTTTTTGCTACACTACACCGGTGTAGTGTAAGCAGAAATAAGCGCGAGTCATTGACAGCTCATCATCATTTGTTTGTAAACAAAGGTGCAAGCTACATCCTGAGTTTTTTTTCGGTGTTCGGCGGTTTAGCACCGGTGTAGCTTAGCTACACCGCCAAAACGAAAACGAAATGATACGAAATGTTTTGTGCCAAGTACATCGTTCTCATTTAGGAATTGTGAAGAGTAAATCCGTATTGAAAAGCTTTGTGTGGTGGCCAAGCATCGATGCGGAACTGGAAAGACATATCAAAAACTGTTCCGAGTGCCTTACTAGCCAACCATCACCGGAGAAAGCCAAACTGAAACCGTGGCACCCACCGCAAAGTGTATGGGAGAGAGTTCATTTGGATTTTGCTGGTCCAGTTCAAGGCATCAGTTTTCTGATTGTTGTCGACGCGCTTTCGAAGTGGATAGAAGTGTTCTCTAAGCGGAGATGTTATACGGAGTTCGTGTTGGAGAAGAGGCTAGAGTGCATTTCTCGTTTTGGCTTATTGAAGGAAATCGTGTGCGATAATGGGTCACAATTTACGGCGGCTAAATTCAAAAGCTTTTTGGCAGCTAATTAAGTTAGGCTGACATTTACAAGTCCAGGTCATCCTGTTACAAATGGCCAAGCAGAGAACGCTCAAGGCTTCACTATTGAAGCATAGAGGTAACTCTAAGACCACTGGGTCCCGAAGAAAATCATTATTATTTTTGGCTCACTCAGTACCAGAACAACGGTCCCAAGCAGTCCCAAGCTATTTCACTCACCCCTGCATGTTCTGCATGAATCCACACACCCCTGATGTTATCTGTCAAACTTTCATAGCGAATCAAAACAAACATAGTGTAGTAATAGAATTTCAACTAGAATAGGGTACGTTAATCATTTGCTTGGGACCAATAGGCTACTAAAGTGGTGAGCCAATTTAAAATCGTTAGTTTCGTATTGATTGTTGATTGAAGTGTCTAGCTAGAGGATGTTCCAACTATAGTCGCTATATTCATAGTCTGGCGGATAGAATCTCGGGAACCAATTGAGCGGTCAAATAGCGGAACCAATCGAGCAAATCACGACCAACAACAGAAAAGAGCACATCAGCTGTTGCGAACAAAACTTCGGAAGCCCTTTTCTCGTGACTCAAGGCTCGCCTACGCAAACTAACACCATCTTTGGGTTGAAGAAAGTTTCCCCTATCCGATGATGCCGGTAATTTGCATTCGATTGGCGAGTAAAGAATAATCAACGTTTTGTTTATAAAAGTTGATAGTACCTTTTCAATGGTTGAAATATATTGAATTGGTTCCGCTTTTTGATAGATCGAAATTCTATCCGCCAGACTATGAATATAGCGACTATAGTTCCAACGTGCGCGAGATGGTAACTAATATTCTGATGGGTTTCGCAACACTGCACATTGTGTACCCGGATTTTACCAAGAGAGCTACGTACATCATTGGACTTGATGTTACCACCGACAAACCGACATGAAACTTAAACTTAACTCTTGATCGAGAATCCATAACGGCCGATTCAAATGTGCAGCGATCCCATCTGAAATGTTTTATCTAGATAAAAATAATTTGTCCGAAATAGATTAGACACGAACCAACTCATAAATTTTGTACGCGTGTTCATGGCTAGGATAAACATTTTCCGCGAACACGGCGACAGATGTCAGTTTTGTACTTTGAGCAGAAATTCCTTTGTAATTTGTATGATCATTCATGTCGGTTTGTCGGTGATGTTACCACGCGCTAATGAGAAGTCATCAGCGGTGGAGCAAAAAGTGAAATAGACAATTCTCGTGTCACTTTTCAAATAGACCAATGTAACCTATCCATTATTTGCGGAGACGAGCCAGCAAACGGCTGAAAGTCTCCTTAATAAAGATATAAAAAAAAAATATCCATTATTTTGAGAAAATCGAAGTTAAAGTTCGACATATTATTATTTTAACAGTTTAGAAACAATTCATTTTGAAATACTACTTTTAATGCAGTCAGTGAATAATAACGTTGAAAAATCAGTAGAAACGGTAAAATCATAGAGGTAACTCTAAGACCACTGGGTCCCGAAGAAAATCATTATTATTTTTGGCTCACTCAGTACCAGAACAACGGTCCCAAGCAGTCCCAAGCTATTTCACTCACCCCTGCATGTTCTGCATGAATCCACACACCCCTGATGTTATCTGTCAAACTTTCATAGCGAATCAAAACAAACATAGTGTAGTAATAGAATTTCAACTAGAATAGGGTACGTTAATCGTTTGCTTGGGACCAATAGGCTACTAAAGTGGTGAGCCAATTTAAAATCGTTAGTTTCGTATTGATTGTTGGTAAAATCACAATTTTGATTTGAATTTCATGCTACAATATAGCAAAAACCACATAGGACGTTTTGACTAGTCAAGTTGTACATCGGACATGTTACATTGGACGGTTTTTCCCAAGTGAGGAATTACAAAGGATCGAGGAACGTTCGGTTTCAAGAGGGAGATCGTGTTATCGTACGATACTATACCAACCCGAAGGCAAGTTGGACGCCTGCAATAGTAACGCGTACTATCGGTAAGCGAAACTGTTTGGTGAGGTTATCCAAGAGCAACCGGATAATCACACGACATCTGGACCAGATGTCGCGGGATACGATACAAGCTGAAATACATAATAGCGTACCGAGGAACCAGTTGACACAGGAACAAAAGCTAAATCGGTACGAGTATCCAGTGCACAGGAACAAATACAACAAGAGTGTGAAGTAGTAGAAGAAGAAGAGAGCAATGACCCATGTTTCTCGGATAATGATTCAATAGAAGAGCAGGAAGAAGAAGAAAATTCCAATGAAATTGATGCAAGTTTCACTAGTGTGCATAGTGTTAATAGCGATGTTATGAGCAAAAATCACCAGCTTTGTACGAAAACGAACTAGAAAAGTATCTAGTGCACAGGTTATACTCCAGAAGGCGAGTAACATTATTATCTCAATCCTAGAATGTTTTTTCCTTGATTTATTGTCCGTCGATCGATGTTTTCCGTACTGGGTACCAATGTTATCAACTCATGGACCGGGGACAAAAGGCTTTACTTCCCTTCTGAAGGAAGACGTGATCAAAGATTTGATGGCTCAGAAAATCCCGGCGGAGCCGGCTGGGATTTAACCCAGGCCATTTGAGGTCAGAAGCAACCACGCTTACCACTACACCACCGTCAATTTGTGTAAAGTCAATTTATGTCAAGCCTCCAATTAAAAAAAAAAAAACCATTGCTTCAACAGCGACCTCTTCGAAAATTCAGCCTAATAAGAATGACTCAATCGAAACAATGGTTCGACTTCAACAATAATTACAATGAGCAATGACTCACCTGCACAGCCCATCGGTGCGGTTACGAACTGTTGAAGGTAAGCACCGGGTGAGGAAAACGTGAGGAAACTTCTCATCGGCAGCGTCGGTCCTGTTGGAGTCGCTGGAGGCGTCCTCAGAATCGAAGCACTAGGTGACATCACAATAGTTTGCAACACCGGTTGATCAGCAACCGATCTAGGTGGTTCCTGTACTTTAACTGACTCTGCCAACGACGAAGTCATTGTCGTAGTTGTCATCGTCGTCGTTGTTGTCTCCGTAACGCCATCCGAGTTCTTTTCAATAGGATCCTCCGCGAATTCCTTCGGCGTGTCCTTCTTGGGCCGTTTCTTCTCTGGATGTTTGATGTTGAGGAAATCGGTCTTTTTGCGGATGCGGAAGCTACGAGTTCGCCCGGGAGATGGAGACGTCGCTTCGGGAGTTGAATCCACGTCCGTTTTCTGTGCCGTTTCCGAGTTCGATTTTTCCGATGTGATCTCCTCGGGAGTATTTTCATCATTATTTTCTGATTCTAACCGTCTGGATCTACGGGGTGATGACTTGTTCGGTGTTTGATTCGAGTCATCATCGGTGAAAGGTGAACCCGGTTTAGTGTAATCTTTTGTCGGTGTCTCCTGGATCGATTGGTCCGACGAAGAATCCGGGGGACTTTGTGGCAATTTGGTTGGCGTTTTGAAAATTGGAACATGAGAGAGGTTTGGGGAGAATGCCTTCGAAGGACTGACTGACCTGGGAGGTGCCGTCAGCAGAACGATGTTTCCAGTTTGATTTGGCAAGCCGTTGTTCAGGACATAAGCTATCGGGAAGCGATGGGCAGGGTTCACTGGAATTGCTTTTTGTGCATTCGCATTGGTGGTGATGATTGCTGGCATTCCATTGAAAATTAGCTGGGGTGAAATGGAACCATTCATTATCATCGGTGGTCGCATTTGAACTCCATTGGGAGAATGCTGTGGACTAGCTACTTTCGGAAGTTGCAAACCAGCCGGCTTGGCATTGCTCAAGATCTCCTGTTTGCCCGGGGATTCGGTATCTGATCCTACCGATTTGCTTAACCGGAAGTTCTTGAGGTTCAACATATCAGTCGGCTTTGGAGGTGGAATCAGACGTGGTTGTATAGGTTGCTGTCCTCCCAGTATGATTCTACTGGCGGCGAGAATCTTCCGATCGATAGGATTGGCCGGTGGCGTTGGGACATTTTTGCTGTTATTATCACCCAGAATTTTCGTTGGGATGGTTATCCCAGTTAGCGGTTGAGGATTGGCCGTAACAGGCGCATTGGTTGAAGTTGGTTGCAATTTAAGTGGCAATTGAAACTTGATCGGATTAATGAGCGTCAACCCGGGAGGAAATCCGTTCACAAACTTGGGGGCACTTTCGTACAAATTAAACACTGGGCTGTGGCTGAGAATTACTTTAACGGTATTGGGTGGGGGCTGGCTGGTGGTGGGCTCTCGAGGTGGTTTTGGCGTTGGAATAATGTCTGTAAAGAATGAAATAAGCATACATTTAGAAAGATACTGGAGAACTAGGGGCAAGAAGGTCACCCGGGCCAAGAAGGTCACCCGGGCCAAGAGTGCCACCCTCAATATATTTTGAAAATGAAATCATTTCAATCCTATCTCACGATGAACCTATGCACGGTACTCCTATGAAGCATTCTAAAAAGTTCTGTCCGAATCGAAGTCGTAAAAAAAAAATGCAAAAAATAATTTTGTGTTGATGCTAGTTTTTTATAAGAATAAGGCATCATAAAATAAGGTTTTCGGTATTTCCCATTTATTTTTTTCATAGTTTCTGCATTGAGACGTCACTATTGATGGTTGATTGATACAGTAATAACAATTAATTATTAAATATTTTCTTTAATCAAAAATTATATTTCCTAAAAATAAACTTTTTACGGGGCAAGAGTGCCACCCCTACGTTTATGTATTAAATTGTACAAAAATGTTCAGAAATTAGCACAATTGGACAATTATGTTTCCTATATACGTGAAATTTTGGAAAACAAACTTATCAGTTTTACTTCATTTAGAAATATGGTCTTTTTGTCCCATAAGAGTAGCCTTCTTGCTTCGTAGCATTTTTAGAGCGTACAACATGAAATTTTGAAAAAAATCATTAACACTTTTTGATGGGGTTTAATTTTAATTTCAATGATGATACATGGAGACAAGGTTATAAACTTACAATTCGGTTCACAAACTCCTATAAATATTCACGGAATCACATGTAAAAACGCGCTACACCAACTCATCATCGCATTTTGTTTAATACTACGAAAGGTTTAAAAACAAACGTTCTTCGTGTCAGCAGAAGGAACAGCTGTAATAGTGACGTGATTCTAATGGAATTAACGGGTCTGAGAAAGGGACAAACAAACTAGCAGCAAGATTATATATCTGCATCTTCATGGCTATATTTACCCTAACTACTCCTAAGAGTACTTTTGGAATTATCCTTCGATTTTTCATTTATTCTTTTCAGATTTCCTTTGGATTCTCCTTCTTCTCTCGTAATTCTACTTACAAGTAGCCTGGAGTTCTCCTTAGAATTCACTTAGTTCTCCTTACAAGTCCATTAGAAAAGTCTCATCTAAATTACATTCCAGTTTTTGTCAGAATTTCGAATTGCCATGGAATGCACCACAGAATTCTCGGACTAATTTAAAATGAATCCTTAGATTTTAGTCTCCTAAAAATCATCCTCTGATATTTTCCTCTACATTTCCTTGAAATTATTCCTAGAGATCCTTGGAAATTTTCATTAAATTTATTCATTAGAGTTCAAAAGTTTTAAAACTTTTGCAAGTCCCTTAATTTATTCTATGCCCGTAGTCTTGAATATTTGTTTCGTTCCAGATTCTTAAAAATTCCTCCATGTTTGATTTCATCGGCCCAAAATTTCAAAAAATTGTCCTTTGAAATCTGTAGGAATTATCCATGTTTCAGTAACCTAAAAATCACAATTCAAGCTTAAGAATTTATGTTGTTACTGAAGAAAAATCTACTCCGGAATTATTATGTTCAAAGAGTAAAGGTAACTAATGAGAAAGATAAAGTTGTTTGTATTATAATATGAAATAGTATACTATCAAAAACTAGATTGGTAAAGGGATTTGAAAATTCCCTGAGAATTCCAGGTTTCTCTAGGTAAAATAAAATTCCCTGAAAATTCCAGGTTTTCCAGGTAGTAGATACCCTGCATTAAAGATGGAGGAAAAAGACTGCACAAAATTCCACGACAGTAACTCAGGGGCTGAGAAGAATTGAACTCAAAAGTGTAGAAAGTGAGCTTACTCAGTGAATGAGTATAATTTTCCTCTGGTATCCAGGATGAATTTGAGGGAAATCGAGAGATATTTCACCGATTCTATTAGGAGAATACTAGACTGAGTAAAATTGTCGCTTGAATTCAGCTTGAATATTAATAATAACTGTGATAGGAACTAGAAACTTAACAAACACGGTGAAACTACCGCGATACCGCTAAACACCATATTGATACCGGAATACATAATTACATTACATAAAATCAAACTTACTCTGTTTTCCAGTCGCCACTTTGACTCCCGTTAAATTCGTGACATATTTAGCATGAGCTACCACTCCTGATGTCGGTAAAGCTTCCGAAGACCTCTCAGAATGATTTACTGTTTTAGATTTACCGACTTCAGAGGTTTCATCAATACTGTTCTTGCGCGCCACGGTTTTATCTTCTACATCCGGACTCGAACCCTTTCCATAATGTTCTTCATTTGTAGAACCATCCACTGCTGACTGTGGATGTTTACTAGTCTTGGGCATACCTTCCTTTGAAATAGCGATCTCATTGAACGTTACCTTCGTTGGTTCCGGAACACGAATCGAACCACCTTTTCCAATCTGATCGCCCGTTTCACCAATTCCTCCATTAGATCGAGCAGTGGATGAATCAACTGAGGATTCTGCCAATACCTTTCCCTCAATCTGATGTTGTGTTTCAACAGGTTCGCTCGTAATCGATTCCTTCCGTTCAATGTTTGCTGGATGTATTTTGTTTCCGATTTCAGTTTGTTTCTGTTCAGTTTCATCTTCCTGCAGAATGCATTCCGGTAGGCTCTCGCTCACTTTGACCGGATCTTCAAATACCAAGATTGCGCCCTTTTCCGGACTTTTCCTACAACCGGAAGAAAGCTCACTGGGATCCTCCCCACCGGAAGGAGTGGTTTTCACCGGTGTCAGTGGGACAAGCATGGGAACGTCCGTGACAGCCGGCAGGATCGGTTTCATGAGGATGTGAATTTTGCTTGCAGTGGCAGGTATGGTGTCTGAGGTGGGAGCGTTTTGATCTATAGTGTTCATCATTTGACGTAGGTTTCCAAACAGACTAGAAGCGGTGTCAATTTTGATAACATTGACCGAAGAAGGTGATGGTGGGATAGATTGATGCGATGAAACCGGTGGACTGGTTGGTCGAATGCCATTCGGTGAGCAAGGAACCAGAGGCGGAACCGGTAGCTTTGGTGGCAGGTTTAGTGGAGATGGGATGTCAGGTTTTGATTCGTTTTTCATTTGCAATTGGGCTGCATTTAGAACGATGTTATAGTTGTTAAGCTGCTGTTGTATGAGAAGATTGTTTATGTAAAGCTGCTGAGGTGTGAGAAGGCAGGATGGATTTAGAAGCATGGGAACTTGCTGGAAAGATGGTTCTTTTTTTATATCCATATTACCCGACCTGGGTTCCTTCTTAACATCGACTCCATTTGACGAACAACCTTCGTCAGTAGCTTCATCTTTGATAGCATTCTTGAGCATTGGCTGAGAGGCTGTGTGCTGTTCCTCGGGCAGTAGTAAAGTTGCATGAGCAAAAATGGGATCTTTAATGCGGGTATATTCCGGAACATCGATGTTTAAATTCTTCATTACCTGTCTCATCACTTCGTCGCATTTCCCGTTAATCTTGATAGATGAAACCTTATCCTTCGGTGTCCACTGAAGGTTGACTATAAATAATTTGGGACGTTTTTTCATCGGCCTATCGGTGGCCCAAAGCCACGTGTACTTCCGAAGGACTTTGAGGCTAGAGCCTAGGCAGAGGATGGCATCAGTCTTTTCAGTGTGTGGTGTTGCTCCGGCCCAGTTCAATGGCCACTTCAGTTGTCCACGCTCGCCGAAATGTACAATCGTATCAACCAACGGTTTTCCGCACTTTCGACATCGTCGATTCGTTTTGTGCTTGTGAGTGGATGTAAGCTGGGTGGTATCGAACAGCCGCCAATATTCAACATTTGGTTTACAATTCTTACAAACCTCAACATACATATTTCCATGCACTTCCGATAAGGAATATCTTGGCATTCCAGATCTCAGATGCAATCCATCACAATTCTGCGATACAACGTGTTTCAACATTCCCCTCCTGTGCAGCTCAAAAAGTGCCATATGAGTGTACGTCGGATCAGCCAGAGACAAATCATGTTCCCCAATATCCTTCCCCTGTGCCAGCAGCGTCCAGATCCCTTGGCTGCCACGATAATCCGGAATCTTTGCAGAAGTACTTATGCCAGCACCAGTATAGACCACCAAGTGGTTGGACTTTACTATCGACTGTGCTAATTTAAATGCCTTCAACTCAATCTCCTTCGGATCATCTTCCCTTTCGATCATTCGTTCCTTGTAAACCACCCTTCGCTTCCTTCTCTCCAGAATCTGCTTGACCATTGTTTTATGATTCCCTAGCAATCGCTCATCGTCACCGCTTCGTTTCGATTCAGCTTTATTCAAAATTGAAACGATCTGAAAAAAAAACCTAAAATTAGCACCATTTCTCAAAAACAGAATCCCTTTCACCTTTTTCCACAGATCAAGCTTTTTCTTTTTGGGACATTCCTCCTGCTTCGTTTCGGACCGCCGGCATCGCTTGGTCCCCTGTTCGAGGATTGCCGATACTTTGATACCTTTTAAGCGCATCATTCACGTGTTCTTTTTCTTCACTTACGAAATTCAGCTCAACTCCCCATCAGAGATGATAATTACCGCATCCATATTATTATCGCTTATGCATCACCAAAAGCAGGATCCATGATTCTTTGTTGATGTCCCGATTCCGGGATATGTTTTTCCATCCAATTCAAATGGCACTGCAGTTACCGACTAGCGGAATCGAAGTACGAGTACCCCGGGACTCACCTGGAGGCTGATTTTTTCGTTATTTCGCACGTATTTCCTCAACAATTAGACAAAATTCTATCGAATTAACTTTTATTATTGTTTATTTATTTCTTCTTCCTCCTTCAGCAAGAACGCACGTACACACTCGACAGGTCTCGCATCACACAACACCAGGGTCGAACTCGAACTAGGCGCTCAGGTGACGAATCGATGAGAAAGGAATTGGTAAATACACTGGAACAAAAAGATACAAAGTTAACTCTCAACCTCCCTAATAAAATTGGTATGGCTATTTTGCTTAACGACGTGTTTATGCTATCATCCAAACCATTTGTTGTTCCATCATTTGGATTATGATTCGGATAGGGTTTTTCTGATTAGGACTCGCTCTCTATTAAGGTGATTCCTTGAAGAGTCCAAAGATTGCTGTCATAATGTCTGATATGCCTTATCATTTCAAGTTTTCTGGTGCACAAATCTCGGGCACTGTTACGACACCACTCACAAAATTGAAACTCCCTGTTTACTGCACTGCAGCAGTTTCCTTGTTGTATGTTTCGTGAGAGAGCTGATATTTGTACTCTTGAAATTGCGAGGTGTAAATTAGATTAAGCAGAAAGAAGGCTTCCACAGCGATTCACCTTAAGTTATTCCCTGGGAGGGAGAAGCAGATAGCACACACGGAATTCATTGCATACTTGTTCTACTTGTCATGAAAATTTATGCCATTGAATTCAAATCAAAACAGGTATAGCTAAATCGCGTGTTTTGCTTTGAGCGTGTAGTGATTGTTTGAGATTATTCAGCGTGCAGTGAGAAACTGTACTTTTCTGTTTGGTACGCTACTAGATGTTTTGACAAAACCTCAATTGATGGTATCTTTCAATATTGATTTGTGTGTATTTTGAATGAATTAAAAAGAAACTGTGTCCCATTGAATAAAATAGGTGGAAACAACAGTTTGTCATAAATTGTTTTACGCAAGATTTCAAAACCGCCTTGTGTATTCTTGTTCAACTGTAAGAAAAGCATCATAAAATTGCTTGGCTCCCAATGACAGTTTGTGACAGCCAGACGGCTGCATTTGACGTTCCATTTTTCTCTCTTCGCGACTCTCCCTCAGGTGATTCCCATAAAGAATTACCCCAGAGACGGCGCTGTTTCCTGTTTTTTTTATAGCTATGAGAAATTATTGTCCAAAGCGAAGCTTATTTTCTTGCACATGTGGAATTGTACCCACGTACGCTGAAATTGTCTAATAACCTATCAATAAAATTATGATTTGCGTTATTGTACTTTTAAACAGGCTTGCTTCCACTCACTTGCTATAAAAACATGATTTTCTGAATTTTGTAATCATTAGATGTTATAATCATATTATGTACTTGTCAGATACAAGAAGAGGTTGAAAGGCAAGTGTTTGACACATCAAACCTGTCAAATTTGCTTTCAGATAGTCACAATCAGCGATTTTACGACTCGCGAGCGCTCACTCTGAGTGAACGCTCACGAATCATAAGATCGCTGATTGCAGCACTCTGGTAGCGAAATTGACAGATTTTATGAGTCAATCACTTGCCTTTCAACCTCTTCTTGTATCTAACAAGAACAAAATATCATTATTACATCTAATGATTTCGAAATTCAGGAAATCATTTTTTTATAGCAAGTGAGTGGAAGCAACCCTGCTTTTAAACGTGCTTTTGTGTGATTGTGATTGAAACAAAGGAAATAAAATAATTTGGCAGCTGGTTCCAAGCTATGAAGCAGAAACCGAGGAAAAATTAGTAGGAACGGATATAAATAAATTGACTTTTGTTTCAGTAATATTTCATTGAGTTGTTAAACAAAATAACCATAAAAATTTTATTGGGGCAGTCCGCTCCTCTCTTAAGGCCCAAGGCAGCGGAAAAGCCCGATCTGAGTAAGCCTACTTGTCGGATTGAAAACTAGTTAGAATCAAATCGACTTCGGTTAGGCATCTTGATGCCATTTGTGACTACTGTCAAACTTTCCGTTTCCGTTCCGCTTCCGCCCGAGCTTCCGCCCACATTGCGCTTGGGCCTTTATACTAGACCCTCTCTACTCAAAATTAACACCGATTTTAATCATGATCGAAAGCTGTCTTATAGTACGTTCAGACTACAGAGTTATAACATGTTATAGCGCTATCTTGATGGTGGTTTCTGTGTTGCAATTATTTGACAACCGTTATAACATGTTATAACTCTCCAGTCTGGACAGCGTTTTAAACACTGTCCAGACTGGAGAGTTATAACATGTTATAACGGTTGTCAAATAATTGCAACACAGAAACCACCATCAAGATAACGCTATAACATGTTATAACTCTGTAGTCTGAACTTACTATAAAACGCTGTCCAGACTGGAGAGTTATAACATAGAGGTAACTCTAAGACCACTGGGTCCCGAAGAAAATCATTATTATTTTTGGCTCACTCAGTACCAGAACAACGGTCCCAAGCAGTCCCAAGCTATTTCACTCACCCCTGCATGTTCTGCATGAATCCACACACCCCTGATGTTATCTGTCAAACTTTCATAGCGAATCAAAACAAAAATAGTGTAGTAATAGAATTTCAACTAGAATAGGGTACGTTAATCGTTTGCTTGGGACCAATAGGCTATTAAAGTGGTGAGCCAATTTAAAATCGTTAGTTTCGTATTGATTGTTGGTTATAACATGTTATAACGGTTGTCAACTAACTGCAATAAAGAAACCACCATCATGATAGCGTTATAACATGTTATAACCAACAATCAATACGAAACTAACGATTTTAAATTGGCTCACTACTTGACTAGCCTATTGGTCCCAAGCAAACGATTAACGTATCCCATTCTAGTCGAAATTCTAGTACTACGCAATGTTTGTTTTGATTCGCTATGAAAGTTTGACAGATGAAATGAGGGGTTATTCGTTTTTCCTATGTTTCGAGGGGTGAATCGATTAGCTTGGGACCGAAGAGAGTACCAGATCTGAGCCAAAAAGTTGAGCACGTTATTTCGGGACCTTCTAGTCTTAGAGTTACCTCTATGTTATAACTCTGTAGTCTGAACTAATAAAACATACCATACACGAACGATAACCCAAATGATTGAACAATTCCACAAATGGTTTGGATGATACCCCGAACACTTCGTTAAGCAAACTAACCACAACATTTTTATAAGGGCCACCAGGTCGCACTTCCCCCAGTGTACCTTATTGTGATTTTTTTAAGGAGCATAATAAAATTGTCATGAGAGGAAAGAGAGTGCAATAAAATTCAGGAGTAATATTTGATAACGGCACAAAAGCTTTTGTAAACAAAAGTTGTAAGGCCCCTTACACGCGAACCGAAGAACGCCCACGTAAACCAACAACATCATCGGGTGGGGGAAATTTTCCCTTTTCCGATAGTTGTATTGATTTGCGTAGGCGTTCTTCGGTTCGCGTGTGAAGGGCATTACACGCTATTTCAAAACTACCCAAATTTGGGTAGAATCCACCCAGATCGGTCAAAACTGAACCAACCCAAAAATGGGTAAAGTGTGTTTGAAGTGACAAGTTGAAAAATGAAGAACATCGACATGAATCCGATCCCGACCAACCATTTCGTTAATTTTCACCATTTCATGAATAAGGGGACGTCCATTAATTATGTCACACATTTAGGGGGGAGGAGGGGTTTTGCAAACTGTGACGAGCCATACAAAAAAAAATTAAGGTTCATACAAAAAATGTGACAAAGGGCGGAGGGGGGTTTAAAATGGGCCAAATTTGCGTGACATAATTAATGGACCATCCCTAATTGTAAAGATACTAAAAGTCTAATCGTGAATCGTTTATAAAGATCTTTCTCAAAGTATTGCTACCAATCGTTACCAATGTTAAAATATCGATTGTGTTGCCAGATCAAAATATCGATTTCTATTGTAAAATCAAAATATCGATACACAACTGCTGATTTTATTTGTGATTTTTTTTATCTGCATAATTTCTAGTTTCGATCCCATGCCATCTGGGGTGTAATGATTTCGTTGTTGGTTGCTAATCCTCTGGTTCACGGCTGCTGTTGATGAGCTTATCAACGACAGGCAAACACACGCTAGTATATACATATGTGGTGTATTGAAATTTCTGTAAATCTTTTCATACATGAATTCAATATTTATTTGTCATAACCATCAACCAGTCAGCCATGTAGGTTTAATAGAGGTCAAAAAGGTATCAATTTTCCTCATTGGGTTCCAAATTCCGAGAATCCCACCACGCATGCTATCACGGGTTATTAAATATTAAACGTGAAGAACTACAATGGTAAACATTTGCTGCGTCGCGGCCATCGGTCTTCTCGTTCATTTACCGGCAGATTGCTTCTTCCGATGAAATGCCGAATATGTCGATAAATAATATAAACATTGCCATCTGTCACCTGGTGTGTCTCAAACTATCTTTAACCAGCGATACAAATCGATAACAAGGAGATTATAAATGTGCATCGATGGCAATCGAAGTTCAAAGTTACGATGATATCAGTATTTAAATATTTATTGATGAATATTTGTAAAGAATACTAAAGTCCATGTGACATATCGAAATTAAAAGAAATTTAGTATGGCACCTTTATAGATTACTATCATATGACCGATGAAGAAATAATCTTAAATGTAAGTATCGATCAATAAAGATTTTTAAATGTGTACATCGAAATCATAGAAAATTTAAAGTAAAGAATTGCCGACATGAATCTTTATTTCTGTATAAAGAACTTTAAAGAAGTTTCACGAACGGTTGGTCGGGATACTACATTTTTTTTTGCTGTTTGGAGTTTGACGACACGGAAGGTATATTCTAAAGAGCCTAAATTTATAAAGAGGCGACATGTCAAAATTGGAACAATCGATTGTCTGTCAAAGTCATAGGAAAAGTCATACCAATCGAGCAGAAGACCTGTCAAATGAATAAGATGTCGTCTCTTTATAAATTCAGGCTCTTTAGTATATTCCACAAACACTATGACATATTTTGCACTACACGAATACCATTTTACGATCATTTCCTCACCTGTATATTCAGCTTTCCACGCTCGGTAATGGCGGCTTGTTTGTATGAATAAATGTATCCTTCGCTGTGCTTTTTGACATTATCTGGATGTTCGGATTTTGAACCCTCCCTTTCCATCTCCCAGGAACAGAAGAAAATGGAACAACATACGCCCTCCAGTTAGTGTCAAAAAGCACAGTGTAGGATACATTTATTCATACAAACAGGCAGCCATTACCGAGCATGGAAACCTGGATAATATCTGGGGGGGGGGGGGATGTGCTGTCAAATCAGCCTACTGATCATCTTGTATGAAACTGGTTCCAAACGTAAACAAACGCTGTAGGTTTCTTATGGCTTGTTTACGTTTGGAACCAGTTATGCGAGGTAGGCGACGATTGTTCGTATTTGACAGCCACCTCCCCCCCTTGGATAATATATGTCATTGAGCACGGATCGGTTGAATAAACAAACGAAGAACGACCCTAATAAAAAAATACCATAGACGAATGATAACCCAAATGATAGAACTATTCCACAAATGGTTTGCATGATACCCGGAACACGTCGTTAAGCAAAATAACCATAACAATTTTATTAGGGGAGCTCTCATTGAACAAAGCTCATGACTATTTTTACCAGTGTACAACCAGAAATCGATGTTCATTCTTGTGTATGACATAAATACATTGTGTGTGTGTTTAACTAAAGAGCCTGAATTTATAAAGAGACGACATCTTATCCATTTGACAGGTCTTCTGCTCGATTGGAATGACTTTTCCTATGACTTTGACGGACAATCGATTGTTCCAATTTTGACATGTCGCCTCTTTATAAATTTAGGCTCTTTATGTTTAACGACCCCAGCTCTGTTTGCGTGAACGTGAACCTCGACGAACGAACGTGAGCATAAAACGAAGACGAAAATAATGTGATCATTCCCCGTCAAAAATGACAAGATTCCAACAAATGGAAAGCAATGGTGAGCAGATAAAAACGTTTATTTTTGGCAATAAAACTAAACAGAACACATCGGAAGGAAGTGCAACGCTACAGATTCTGATTCCAGAGGTAAGTGTAATTCTTACGGCATGTGGTATGATAAGTTTTTGTCATAAATTCGAGCTAGTTTACGTGGTATTCGAACGACTCATGGAACCATCTGTGTTTACGATTGTCTTGATTTTCGATTTTAGCTGCTATTGCCTGGATATTCATTCTACACCTGGCCATCGGCTCAAGTGCTGGCTTGGTTTCTCTGGGAACGACGATTATCTTTGCTGAATAAACGTGTGCTGGAGCTGGGAGCCGGAACGTCACTTCCCGGAATCCTTGCAGCCAAGTGCGGTGCTCACGTAACACTGAGTGACTGCAGTACTCTACCGAAAACGCTACAGCACATGCAACGGTGCTGCCGATTGAACAGCCTTACACCTGGAAAGGACATCGAAGTCGTTGGGTTGACTTGGGGATTGTTCTTGGATCAGATTTTCCAGCTGGGACCAATCGACTTTATTATCGGGTCGGACATTTTCTACGATCCTTCGGTGTTCGAAGATATTCTGGTGACGGTATCGTTCCTTCTGGAAGCTAACTCTCAAGCAAGGTTTCTCTTTACCTACCAGGAACGAAGTTCAGACTGGTGCATTGAGACACTTTTAAAGAAGTGGGGTTTACAGTGTAATATAGTTAATTTAGAAAACCTTGGATCTGAGCTTGGCATCGACCCGCAGGAGTTGATGGGCAGTCATACCATCCATCTGTTGGAAGTGACGAGAAGATCTTGAACGGTTTTAGGAAACGTGGATAGCTTTTAGTAAGTTAGTTCCGTAAGCACTCGCTCTAGTATGTCTTCCCCAGGAGTCAACGCGCTTGCACGCGGTGTGCAAAAGTTGTTTGTTGGCAATCTGCCCTGGACAATTAGTACAAAGGAGTTGCAGTCGTATTTTTCGAAGTATGGACACATCCATTCGTCGAACGTGATCTACGATAAAACGACCGGCCTGAGTCGTGGGTATGGCTTCGTCGTTTTCAGTACCAGGGATGGTTACGGCAATGCTACGAACAAGTCGTATCACACGCTCGAAGGTCGTTTACTAGATGTCCAACCAGCGGCAAACTAAAGTGCCAGGTCGCCGTTTTGCGATCGGACATCGACAGTTTCATTTGTTAGAATAATCAGATGTAGAAATATATCAACATTCTCTAAATGTAGTTGTGGAAGAATGAGGTATCACAAGTCCTTAAAGATGTGGGCATTAGGCCGTTCAATTTGCCTTTATGTAACAATGCTTGTATATATATTGTTTTAATTTCATAGGGGAAATGTCGGCTTCGGCAATACCTTAACCCAGTGGTTCCCAACCTTTTTGCTACCGCGGCGCATTTTGAAATTTTCTGAAAAAACCGCGGCGCACTTAGAAAAGAAGGTCGGATTTCTTTATAGAGAATGAAGTTTTTTTTTTGTTTTAATAAACTTTTCCAACAATTTTACAAGCTTTCTGATCACCAATAACGTACAAAATAAGGCAAATTTCCAATTTAAAAAGTGAAAATTTGGGTTTCACCATTGCAGGGGGAGAGATTTGAGACCACTTCTCAACTACAGAAGTGAACAGAGGATACATTGAATTTTTTTATTACATGTTTGAATATAAGGCACTGGTCATGAATGAATTTGGAAAAAGTTACGTTCCCTAACTGGATTGTAATTGTAATTGTTCAGTGTATAGGCTGTGCCAACCGCTAAGTTGGCTTATCTAGGGACTAACCCCCTAGTCTATACACCTACTGTCCTTCCCGTTGCACTCGTCAGCTCGTGCGATACTCTAGACACACATGGGTGGTCGTATCCGGGTCCTCCCCTGGGTAGGCTCGTGTCCGTCCAGGTTCTGGTACATTAACTTATATCTATGCATGGTAATTATACTTTACAACTCACCTTTTGATTATAAATGTCGATAATGCTGAAACTATATGAATGTTAGTGATCATTATTAGGTGTGTGCTGCAATGGAGTAGTAATTGAAGGAAATGAAGTTCTCATGTGGCTTATATATAATTCTAAAATAGGTAAATCATGCAAGCACACACCTTTTACAATTCTTATCCTACTTATCAGTTCCGTCCAGTATAAATTGGCTGTTTCCAAATGGCCTAATCCTTGACTGCTTACTCTCTTACTGAAGTAATGAAATTGGGTTGTTAGCGGAATGCTTAAATAAAACAGCAAAAAAGGTTATCTTCCATTTAATTCCACTTAATTAATTTTGGTATCCATGACAGATACGTATTCCGACTACAATGTGCAGTCTTCATCAGTGTCATTCCCACTAAAGAACTATTCAAATTAGATTAGATTTTGAATAGTTCTTTAGTGGGAATGATACTATTTAATATGACTATTTAATTGTATTAAGCTATCTCACAGAGACCAGACGTCCAAGTTCGGTCAGAAACTTGTGTAAAGTTAAGTGGAAACGTTGCCGTTACGTAGCGCTAGCATTTCCTCTATAAATTTATCACTTTCGACCAATTTGGCGCTAGTATCTGCTGAAAATTGCCACTTGGCGCTACGAGCACTTAGTGTCTAGTGTAAGTTTTGCAACGCCAGCGCCATCATGTTGTCAAAGAGGGGTTTTAAGTGGGGAAGTCGCCGTTAGTGGCGCTTAAGTCGAATAGGAATCTTTACACAAGTTTTTAGAGAAATTTTGGAGCCTCAACGTCTGTTCTCTGTGGCTATCTTATATCGAGCTCTTTTCAATAATTGCAACATGTGAATAATGCAGACCAAGTTTAACATTGTTCTAGAGCCAAATTGGTTTTGGAGGAAGGTCAAACTACAAACGAACAGCTTAGCCGCTCTGAACCCCTTATGCTTCCCAATATGGTACATTCTCTCATTATAAACCTGGCCTATCTGAACTATTTAATAAATGGAAACCATAACATGGGTTACGCTCCTCCTAAGCGGGCCCTCCGCATCCTATCTCTGTCTTATATTAAATGCCAATGGTTTGAATGTATCAATATATACATTGGAAATGACGTTCAATCAAATAAACCCCACTCACTTGGCCAGGGTTCAGAATCGTCCAGTGGGCAGTGCGCTCTACACTCCAAATTTACCCCAAATTTTATATTTTACCCCTTTGAGTATTGATTAATCACAATGAAACATTCCCCCTTATTCAGAGAGTCACGTGACTCTCTGTCACCTCGTGTGAGGTGACTCTCCATGTAAATCAAATGGAGAGTCACCTCACCGGTGAGAGAGAGTCACGTGACTCGCAGAATAAGGGGGATTGTGACAGAGCACGGACTTGAGGTTACTAGAGTTTTAAATAATCACGGTCCCTAACTGGATTGTAATATATATATTACATATAGCTACTGCCTTAACCTATTATTGTCAGGGGGTAAACAAAGTCCTAGAGCACTCAAATTTGGCCAATAGATGCTCTGAAACACAATGTATCCACATGCCAAAATTGAGCTCTCAAGGATGTTGTTTACCTCCTGACGATAATAGAATAAGGTATTGCCGAAGCCGTCAATTACCCTACCTATTATAGGTAAAATACTAACGTAACTATCCTAACTTAATCTAAAGGACTGTTCTACTTTCCATAGGGTTTTGGATATCAGTCAGTCCACAGTGGACAGTTAAGGATTATCCTCGGAATCTTGTACTGGATCCTTCGTGGTTTAAGGCGGTGGCATTGAGCACAATTCTCTCAGATTCCGTACTAAAAATTTGTATGAATTTTTTACTTAAGGGCGTGCCTGAACATCATCCAAACCATTTGTGGAATAGTTCTATTATTTGGGTTACCGTTAGGGTATTTTTACTAGGGTTGGCATACCGGCTTGTATTGCAGGGAAAATGTTGATAGGCGAATACTGATAGAAATCAAATGACACACTAGCGCCTCATGGTGAGTGAATTCTGATCTGAGCTGTCCATCTGAACAAGTTTACCCAAGACCGCAACCTTCTACCTAGTATAGATGTAAAAACAAATAATGACAAGCCAAACGGTACTCTAGCGCCGCCTGGTGATGGCATCTGGCTACCATTCAATAGGTCTTGTTCACCTGAACAACTTTGCCAAACACAGCAACCTTTTACTCGACCTTTTATTTGATCGGAATCTCGAAATTGGAACGAGTCATTCAAGTCGACCGTTTATGGCTTCTAACGATGTGCATACGGCTGGCACAACACTTTTACCGTTAAATATGTTTGTATTTCAATTGATTAAGTTTCTTACATTTCAAGTGATTTTGCCTGAACTGCCGCTATTCGCATAACAGTCCCATGTCCTATGGATTTCCTATCTACATAGGACTGTTATGCGAATAGCGACAGTGAAGGACTGGGCTCTACTCTAGAAATCTTCATCAAAATTCCAATCATGATTATTTTCAACAATGACAACCAAAGAAGGATTATGAAGTTCCTAGTGGAGAAGTAGCCGTGGAGATGAATGGAGCGCTTACCAAACAGAGGTCCGAGCTACGATTTTATCTTTTTTTTCCTTGATTTGTTTTCCGTCGATCTTGTTTTCCGTGCTGAGCACCAATGCTACCAACGCAAAGGGAGGCAGCTTCCACACTTAGACCCTACCTATCGATCCATCAACTCATGAATCGGGGTCCAACGGCTTTACTTCCCTTCCGAAGGAAGGCGTGATCAGAGATGTTATGCCTCAGAACATCCCAGTGGCGCCGACTGGGATTGAATCCAGGGCTGCTGGGGTGAGAGGTAATCACGCTTACCACTACACCACCGGCGCCGCTACGATTGTTCTCGTTGACTACGTGATTGATTTGAGATGAAGTTGCTGCACTATATACCTATCGAGAAGGCTGAGAACAATTATCTCATCGATAGGATTTGCACTTTCCATTGCAGAGAAAACGGACCGGTTTTGATCTATTTGATGGATTGTGCTACATTTCCCCGAATGTCACTTCCCCGAACGCCATTTCCCCGAATGCCGTTTCCCCGAAAGTGCCATTTCCCCGAAAAAAAAGTTAGTAAACAAATCCATAACAAATTATTATTTCTATCTCCCGCATATTGGGTAAATGTACTAATTTTTGTCCCTCCTGTCTTTTGTACCTTTAACTGAAAAATATCTTAGTACAAGTTGCCGTAAGGTCCCATTTGGCATAAAACTTGTAAGATCGATGGGGAATCCATAGAAAATAACCTTAAAAAAGCGCTTAGTTCTCAGTACTCAGTTCCAACAATATGGGATAAGGTTGAACCATTTGTGGTATTATATGTATATATGGTACTTTTCTATTAGGGTTGACAAATTGATAATATATTTTTAGAATATTTACATTTCATTTTTGAATATTTATATCGAAAAATTTGGCAAAATATCGTCGGTTTGACAAATTGGTTATAAAATTTAAGGAGATTTTGCCTTCTTTTATTTACGAGCAGTTCTTTCGAGAACTTTGGGAAAACGTGAGATCGATGGTTTGACAAATTGGTAAAATATTTTTATTCCTACTTTTTTACATAAGCAGTTCTTTCGGGAAATTTAGCAAAACTTGTTTCGGAAATTATTGCAACCAAATTTCAACAGGTGACAGTAATAAACAGAAGTTATGGCGATTTTTTTTTGTGCGCAGAAAACCGAAAAATGTTTATTTTATTAAATTAGAGCCTTTTTCTTGGTCCTTCAAAATGTATATATATATATATATATATAAATTAACTTTCGGGCCTTCGGATGGACCTTTTAAAAATAAACTACACTGGCTGAAGGCCTGACTAAGAATGATTTATTGTTACCTCAAGTGGTTACTGGTCTAAAATATTTAATACACATAATGATTGTTATTTCTGGAGTGTCAGATGTCTCGCGATGTCAGCGGTACGTGCGGTGCCGGTGGATCGCGTGGTCGTCGTCGTCGTCGTCGATGTTGCTAACTGCCGG